TGAAAAGGCATACAAACAAACCCAAAAACCCAACATAAGAATCAGGCCATCAAATGCAAATGCCCACTCCAGAACCATTAGTCACTCCTCCTGGTCATCCTGAGAATTAGTGAAGAGGAAAGACAATTAAATCAAAGTAATCTCCATGGTGAACAAAGGCGAAGGGACTTTTGATCACAAGGAAAACAGACTCTGTCTCAGTTGCTAACATTTTTGATCCAGGAATTTAAAATGAAACATGTCCATAAGTTTTACATGGAAAATTACAATTAAAATGGCACTTGGATGATAATTAACCCACCACAACAACCTCATGGCTGATTCATGCAGAAGCCAAGGGCCCTCAATCCTATGTTTGTTAACCACCTGTCACTGTAGAACGTTGGGGCTGTGGTGCTGGCCAAGTCACTGTACATATCTGAGCCTCAGGTTTCTCATATGTCAAATGGGTATGATAAGAGACTTGTAAAGTGCTTTGAAAACACCCAAGTGCTGTATAAATGTGGGCCATAGGTATCATAGAGCTAGAGCTAGAAGGTCCACAGAGTACATTTAGTCCAACCCCTTCATTGAACAGATAAGAAAACCGAGGTGCAAGGAGTGGCTTGACTCAAGTCACACAGGTAGCAAGCATCGGAGGAAGGACTTGAACCCAGGTTATCTGACTGCAGTGCCAATGAATTATACCAGGTTGCCTCCATTATTTCCACTTCTCTGCCTCTGGTCAAACATCATTATTAAAATACCAAAAGAATTAGGAACCCATGTAGAATATAAGCTCCTTGAGAACAGGGATTGTTTACATTTTTGTCTTTATATCTAAGTGCTTTAGCACATAACAGTCACTTTAAAAATGCATGTTGAATTGACTTGAGTATAAACCAGACATGCATATAAATATTCACGAGATGTCAACACTTTGACTCAAGCATTCTTTATGTTGGGCAAATTACCTTCAGAACAGTGTTAAAAGTTGGAGAGACAATTATCACTGCACTAAGAATTCATTTTAAAACTCAATCTTAGTATCAGTTATCTAACCATCCCACTTTCAGACAAGGACACTGAGGGTCAGTGACATTCGGTGACATCCTCAAGATTGTCCAGCTAATCAGTGAAAGAAGAATAATGTCTGTAACAGTTCTCTGAAGAGGTCATTTAGCACTCATTCCACTAAAACATACTCCCAATTAGTTGCAAAATGCTTTCTAGATGAGCTGAGGGTAATTAAAGAAGACCAAGTAGGAGTATTCATAGCCCATCATAGCAGAACTCCAGGCAGTTTCAGATAACAAAAGCTGGCAGACAGCCAAAAAAGTCCTAAAACATTGTTATTTGACAGTACAACTCCAACTCATGGGGAAATGATGATGTGGGTAGTTGACTTGATGATGGTCACTGTTGATGGATTTTACTTTTCTTTCACTGGTACTCCCTCCCAATAAAACAACTGCTAACCCACATATAGACAAGTAGGCAAATACTATAATTCTGAACTGTGAATACTTTTTTTTTTTGCTTTTTGGTGAGGCAAATCGGGGTTAAGTGACTTGCTCAGGGTCACACAGCTAGTAAGTGTCAAGTGTCTGAGGCTGGATTTGAACTCAGGTTTTCGTGCCTCCAAGGCCATAGCTCTATCCACTGCACCACCCAGCTGCCCCTATGTGAATACATTTTAACTGGCCTGTTTATGAAATACCTGGATCCTTGTGATTCAGTGAGTTCTTGCTAGTATAGCTCCTGTCCCCCACATCTCCAGCAACAACTATACACAAACACTTATAGCCCCGCCCCAAACTACCCCAGATTAGAGGATATATAGGGGTGAGTATTCACTCAAAACCACAGCTCACAAGCTCACACTAATATATTTACTTTTTTATCAGCCAGAGAAAATATTTATGTGAAACAAAAGACATTTAATCAAATAACACAAAACATTAAGTAACAACAATAGCGAAAAGATTGCCTTCATGAATACATGAGGTAACAGTTCAACAGTGGAACAGAATAGAGGCTGAGAGAAGAGATGTGATGAAGAAACATGTGCCCAGGGTACACACTTAGTAATGACAATTCACACTCCCAACTCTCCAGAGCAAACAATGACCTCTGGTGATACAATCATGCTTCTCTCTGCCAGATACCATGCCTACACTGTCATGTTGTTTCTGCTTGGCATTTCCACTGATCTCGTAGTCACTGAGTAACTCTCTACTACCGTCTACCTCACATTGGCTCTTCAGGGCCAGCTGTTGTTCTCTGCAACCACCCACCTAAGGTGCAATGGCTGAAAAGCCCCTCCCTAACAAGTACTGGTTGACTACAGCTAGCCAGGCAGCCAAGCCAGCAGAACATACCCAGGCTAAGATCGTATCTATTCTTTTGACTCTCTTTGTCCAGTGCTGATTTGAGGTCTGTGGCCCCAGACAACTCTCTCACATAATTTGGAAAATTCCTTTTAATCCCTATTAAACCCTTCATTATGAGTCTGTATCCTTAACTCCCTCCCCCAAAACCTGTTTCAAAGATTAATCTGTTTGTATGTATACACACACGTTCATACATAGAATCCTTCAAAAAGCATTTATTCAAGGCTTATGTTCCAGGAATACACTTACGCCTCCCCATCCACTAAATAATTAAATGAATAAATAGACAGGTGGATAAATAAGTAAGTCAGCAAATAAATAAATAAAAATAAGGAGTTGTCTGGAGACATCCATTTTGTGATTAGAATACAAATGAAGATGTAAGAAGGAAGCAAAGTCCACCATTCCCATCTTTATTATGCATGTGCACCACCAACAAAAAAGCTTTAAACCTCTTTTGGGTGTGTGTGCTAATTTCTATGGTAGTTAGTACCTCAGAGGTCCTCCCTACATTAAAAATGCTTACCAGTTTTGCATACTGCCCATATCTTCTGTTGCCTACCCTCTCATGCCCGCCTAAGATTTGTTCTACTCTGATAATTTCTGCCATTTACTGACATTCTTGCTCTTACCTCATCACCTGTCATCATACCTATTAACTTTAGCATCCACGATGACAGACTATCTGATCCCCTCATCCTTTCCTTGTTGCTGTATGTAATTGTTTTTAGTCATGTCCAACTCTTTGTGATCCCATTTGGGGCTTTCTTGGCAAAGATACTGGAGTGGTTTGCCATTTCCTTCTTCAGTATGTCCCCATTTTACAGATGAGGAACTGAGGACAAGGGTCTTCAGGTAGCAAAGGTCTGAGGCCAGATTTGAATTCAGATCTTCCTGACTCTAGGCCCTGATACTCTATCCACTGTGCCACCTAGATGCCCCTCAATCCTTTCCTTACCTCTGATGATATCCACTTCACATCAGCCACAAACAGTATGGCCGCAACCCTGGACAATGCTCCACGTCCAGATACTGAGGTTGGTGTTGCCCCTCTCAATCACAAACTTCTCAGTCATTTCTCCCATTCTCCCAAGTCAACTTAACCTGCTCTTTATTCACCATAAGATCTCTATTTTATTTTCATTCAGTCCCTCACACTACCCCCAGTCCAATTGCTCATTCCTAATAGCTAGATTATAGCCAACATTCATATAATGCTTTAAGGTTTGCAAAGCACCTTGTAAATATTATCTTCTTTATTCTGACAACAACCCTGCATGTAGGTGCTGTTATTTTTATTTTATTTTATTTTTATTTCATTCACTGGGAAACTAGGCAGACAAAGGTTACATAATTTGCCCAGGGTCACACAGCTAATACCTGAGGACAGATTTGAACTCAGATCTTCCTGACTCCAGGGCCAGAACTCTATCAATTACATTATCTATCTGCCTCATTCCAAGCTATTCTACACTTGCTCTACTTCCTGAACTTTACAATTTGCCACTTGTGTGACTTTGAGCAAGCCCCTTCATTCCTCTTGAGCTTGAATTTCCTCATCCACATGAAAGGGACAAGATGACCTAAGTCCCCTTCCAGAACCAAATCTGTGACCCTAGGACTCCATGGGCAGTTATTTCACAACTGCCTTTAATATCAGATCTTCCATAAGGCTCTGTCAATCCTTTAATTTGCTTTTTAAAAATTTACTTGACATAGCTTTTCTTGACCTATCACAGTAAATTCCCATCTTCCACTCTACCACATTACTCTCAACAGATGATCTTATATGCAACTTTACAAGAAGATAAAACTCCTCTGATAAGAGCTAGCAACATCTACCAACCCCACATCAACAAATCTGTCTCTACTTTCATCCTTAAATCTTTTAATTAAATTCCTCTACTCTTCTCTCCTGCTATCAGAACCTGGCCATAAGTATTTCCTGCTACACTGAATGACATACTTAATGATTAAGAATACACTTTCAAAAGATTGACCCCATTTCCCTTTTGGCAACAGCACAGGTCATACTTAAGGGACACCATCCTCCCCCACAAAAAAAAAAAAGATCCAAGGGAAGAAACAAATGAGAAAAATAGTTAATTTTTTTTAATTCTGTAGATTCATCTTCCCCCCAAAAAAAAATTCGTCTTGAGAGAAAACAAAACAAGTTCAACAAGTCCATTTGTTTCTTAGTTATGAAAACATATTAGATAGAACTTTCAGTATCAACAAATAAAAGAAATCCCAAAGTACTCTGGTCACTGTCACCAAGTTGCACCAACATATAACACTAAATCATTTTTAAAAATGAAAATAGAAGGCCTTAAATGTTTCTTTTCTAGTCTGCTTCTCAAGGGTTACATACAAGGACAAACCTTCCAACTCCAAGTCTTCAATGGCAAAAACAATTGTAAATAATATGCTAGACTAGGGCTGGGGAACCTCTAGGTCCTTGAGTGTGGCCCTTTGACCAAATCCAAACTTAACAGAACAAATCTGATGCCCCACCACTGTACTAGATACCTATGACATGTGTAAACCAATAAATTCAAATTCAATAATCAAAAGAATTAGGAGAAATTTTGCAAATAATTACCTTAAGTTATCTAGGCTTTCTCTTACCTTCTGCAAATGGTTCCCATTCATAGAAACGACCCATGAAAGGCTTGTTGTTATAGGATGCGCACTGTACCTCCCGGATGTTTCTACTGTTTTCTGGACATTGCTATTAGAACAAATGTTAAAACACATAATTAGTGTCCAGATCTATTATTCATCCACAGTCTGACCCCAATCTTCTATCCCACAATTATAACCTCTGATCAGACCACTCCCCTCCTTGTTCCTCTAGAACTGGTCAAATGCACTTCCCATAAATATCTAGTGACTTCTCATATCCTTGCCTTTATTCAAATTATTTTCTCTACCTGAAATGCTCTCTTTGTACTTTTTTGCTTGTCTTTCCTTTGTTTAATTTTTCCTTCAAAGTCTAAGTCTTGCCTTACCTCTCCTAGGAAGCCTCCCCTGGGTACCAGAACCAAACTTGACTCAACTATCACTTCTTCAAATAAAGCAAATTCCAATAGCATTTATTGTTTATAACATTCAATTAATACATTTTACATTAGGATCTCCTTACATAAATGGCCTGTCCCCGTAATTATGCTACGAGCTCCTGGAAGGCAAGAGATATATTTTATATTCATAATCATCATCACCATTACTGGCATTTACATAATATCTTAAGGCTTGCAAAACACTTTATCTGTTATTTTATTTGATTCTTTATAGAGCATAATGAAAATATTCAAATAAATGGATTTTTACTCATTCACTCAACAAATATTAAATAACCTAAGATCTTGGCAACTGATCCCATCACTTCCTGGCAAACAGAGGGAGAAGAAATGGAAGCAGTGTCAGATTTATATTCTTAGGCTCAAAGATCACTGCAAACGGCAACTGCAGCCATGAAATTAAAAGAAAATTGAAATTAACCCATAAAACAGAAGTAGCCAGCAGAGTGGATCATAAACCAGGATCCTACAATGTGTTGTTTACAGGAAACACACTTGAAACAAAGAGACACACACAGAGTAAAGGTAAGGGACTGGAGCAGAATCTATTATGCTTCAGCTGAAGTGAAAAAAAAAAAGCAGTGGTAGCAATCCTGATCTTAGACAAAGTAAAGGAAGGAAACTACATCTTATTGAAAGGTACCATAGACAATGAAGCAAAATCAATACCAAACATATATGCACCAAGTGGTTTAGCATCAAATTCATAAAGGAGAAGATAAGTGAGTTAAAAGAATGAACAAATAGAAAAATTATACTAGTAAGGGACCTCAACTCTTCCCTCTCAGAACTTGATAAATCCAACCAAAAGATAAACAAGAAAGAAACTAAGGAGATAAATAGAATATTAGAAAAGTTAAATATGACAGACCTTTGGCACGATTTAGATATAAAGGGTGACACCATAAGAAAATAAGAAGAGCGAGGAAAAGTCAGATAGTCAGTCTACCTGTCAGATCTATGAGGAGGGGAAGAATTCATGACTAACAAGAGATAGACAACATTACAAAATGTAAAATAGATAATTTTGATTATATTAAATTAAAAACCAACACAACCAAGATTAGAAGCAGAAAGCTGGGAAACAATTTTTACAGCAAGTGTCTCTGATAAAGTCCTCATTTCTCAAATATAGAGAACTGAATCAAATTTACAAGAAAATAAGCTATTCCCCAATTGATAAATGGTGAAGGGATGTGAGCAGGCAGTTTTCAGATGAAAAAATCAAAGCTATCTATAAGCATATAAAGAAGTGCTCTAAATCACTTTTGATTAGATAAATGAAAATTAAAACAACTCTGAAGTACCACTTCATACCTATCAGATTGGCTAATATGACAGAAAATGAAAATTATTAATGCTGGAGAAGATGTGGGAAAACTGGGACACTAATGCACTGTTGGTGGAGTTGTGAACTGATCCAGCCATTCTGGAGAGCAATTTGGAACTAAGCCCAAAGGGCAATCAAACTGTGTATACCTTTTGACCCAGCAATACCACTACTAGATCTATATCCCAAAGAGATCATAAAAAGGGGGAAAGGACCCACATGTGCAAAAATATTTATAGCAGCCTTTTTGTGGTGGCAAAATATCGGAAATTGAGGGGATGCCCATCAAGTGGGGAATGGCTGAACAAGCTGTGGTATGGAATTCTATTGTGCAATAAGAAATGATGCACAGGTAGATTTCAGAAAAACCTAGAAAGACTTGTATGAACTGATACAAAATGAAATGAGCAGAACCAGGAAAACATTGTTCACAGTATCAGCAACATTATGTGATGATCAACTACGAATGACTCAGCTCTTCTCAGCAGTGCAATGATCCAAGACAAGTACAAAGGACCCGTGAAGGAAAATGCTTTCCACATCCAGATAAAGAACTGATGGACTCTGAATGCAGATGAAAAACAATTTTTTTTCCACCTACTTTATTCTTTCTCGTGCTTTTTGTTCCTCTTTTGATCTGTTTCTTCTTTCACAACTGTAACTAATATGGAAATATTTTTACATGATACCACATGTATAAAGTATATCAAACTGCCTACCACTTTCAGAAGAGGGGTGGAAAAGTAGGGAGGGGGAAAATTTGCAACACAAAATCTTGTAAAAATGAATGCCAAAATTGTTTTTGACGTGTAACTGGGCAGAGGAAGCATAAAACACTATTTAAAAAATAAAATTGAATTAAAATTTCCTTGGAAGGAAAGTTTTGGCAAATCAAGACAGCATACTAAAAAGCAGAGACATCACCTTGCTAACACAGATCTATATAGTCAAAATTATGGTTTTTCCAACAGTAATGTATGGCTGTGACAGTTGACTTCTGGTGCTAGAGAAGACTTCTGAGAGTCTCTAGACAGCGAGGAGATCAAATCAGTCAATACCTAAAGAAATTAATTCAGGATGTTCATGGAAAGTCAAATACTGAAGCTGAAACTTACTTTTGCCACATAATGAGAAAATGAGACTCGTTGGGAAAGACCTTGATGTTGGGGAAGATTGAAGGCAAAAGGAAAAAGGGATGGCAGAAAATGAGATGGATAGATAGTGTCATGGAAACAACACTAATTCAGACAGACTTCAAGAGACAGTGGAAGACAGAAGGGCCTGGCAATGCTATGGTCACAAAGAGTCAGACACAACAGAACAACAGCAACAATGCAACTGTGTTTCCAGCCCTATGCTAGGAGATGCAAAAGATAACAACAGTCTCTGACCCCAAGAGATTATTAGTTATTGAGTACAGGTGTGATAAGGATTATGCCTCTAATAAAGAATTTCTTATGCTCTCAGTTTAAAGACTCCACAGATCACCACACTATCCACCCAGGTCAGCAGTTTTGAAAAGGTAGATGAGTGGTTGAAATGCAGGATTCAATTTGAACCCAATAAAGTAAACATTGGGAGAATACAGCTAGTTTCCACTTTTTTTTTTATCAGAATTCAGTTCTGGAAACTAAATCATAAAGCAGATGGTTGTAAAGCAGATCATATTTTCCCATAGAAACAATGTTAAAATTGAGGATGGTAATCCTAAAGACTCAGCAGCAAATAAATCATAGATACGACCAACAATTAGGACTGCCAACCCCCAGGCATTCGACTGGCTTGGATGGGGTTCTATCCCAGAAGCCAATTGCTTATGAATATACCTTGTTATGGCCAGGTTTTTGTTTCTTTGTTTGTCTTGGTTTTTTAGCTTTGACTTCTATAACCCTACCAACAACATGCCATAAAAGCAAAAATACAAGAACTAGAAACCTCTGTAACAATTTAAAATAATGAAATATGCTCCAACTCTGATAAAATGGTCATAAACATACCAGCTGCTTTGATACAGTCAGCTCCACTGTGCTAAAAAGTAGACAAATACAAATCGATGGGGTCATCTGTTGGGCCTGAAATTCATCTGTTATCTACTGAATAATAAACATCAATTGCATATGCAAATAGTGATCATGTGGCTGACTTCCTAGAACATAGGAAGGATCTTAAGGGATTGTTTGAATGTCCCAGGAATTTTAGGAAACCATTTCCAGAAAGTATGACTTGTTCTTTCAGCAGTTTTTTCTTATAGTACAGCCACATTCAAATTCATTTCAAGATCCATTTATTTGCCATTCTGAAATAGTGAGGAATAGTAAAAGGAACATTGGATGTGGAAATAAGAGGCCTGGTTAGGAGTCCTAGTTCTGACATTTACTAGGTATGTGACCCTGGGCAGGCAAGTTATACTCTTGTGTGTTAATACTGCACCCTATCCCCCTCAATAAAATGAGAGTACTACTTGAGAGGAAAAGTGCTTTGTAAACCTTAAAGTATTATCTAAATGTGAATAATAATTATTTTATTCCCAATTTCCAAATACTTTCCAATCTTAAAGAAATAACCCCTTTGCAAAATCTTTTTTTTCTTGGCAGATCTGTGATTGTATTGGTATAGGGAAATGTCAATGAGGAGGGCTCCCCTTACCAATACAGGCTAGTATTTTTTCTGCCATTTACAATTCTACTCAGTAATTTTTTTTTACGGTAAGGCAATGGAGTTAAGGGACTTGCCCAGGGTGACATAGCTAACTAAGTGTTATGTATCTGAGGCCACATTTGAACTCAGGTCCTCCTGACTCCAAGGCCAGAGCTCTATCCACTGAGCCACCTAGCTGCCCCCAATTTACAGTTTTAAAGAGTTGCCTGGGACACTATGAGGTTAAATGGCTTGTCCAGAGTCACAAAGTCATTACCCATCAGAGGTAGGATTTAGACCCAACTCTTCTTGATTCAAGGTTGGGCCTCTACCCTCTATACCTTGCTACCTCTCAAAACATTTAATGAATAAAATGCCTGACCTCCAAAGGCCATGGAAAGGTATCTATTTCACCCCGAATGTTAACAATCAGATGCTATCAATTAAAGAAAAACTCTATATGTCAGTTATAAAGACTGCTTGTTTGTCATATCAAAGAATAATCTAAAATCATGATGGAGATCTTTTTCAGAAATATAGATCAAGGAAAGGAGAAATGAGTTATCACTGATGACCTCGCAACAGGCTCTAGTTCCCATGGATAAAAAAAATATTATATGTAGTTCTAACCAGGATGTTAGTAATGTGAATTACCTTAAGATAAGCATAGCTGGGTCTGAT